CTCCAGCTCCAGTTTTTTGAGTTTGTTTTTGAGACGGGGCTTACTGCGTAGTCTAGATTATCCTAAAACCCACGAAGACCTGCCTGCTTCTACCTTATGAGTGCTTGGATTAAAGACATGTGTGCCACACCGAATTATACTATAAATTATTTTAAAATACTTTATATATAATATATGTAATGTCATATATATTTTTTGTTGTTGTTTGTTTTTTTGTTTTTCAAGACAGGTTTTCCCTGTGTATCCCCTGTTGTTCTGAAACTCCCTCTGTAGACCAGGCTGGCCTCAAACCTACAGAGGTCTTCCTGCCTCTACCTCCTGAGTGATAGGATTAAAGGCATACTCCTGGCTTTTTTATTTTAGTTTTTCCGAGACGGTAGCTCACTATGTAGCCTTGACTGACCTGGAACTTGCTATGTAGACCAGGCTGGCCTTGAACTCACAGATCTCCACCTTCCTCTGCTTCTTGAGTGCTATAATTAAAGGCTTGTACCGTTACACCTAGCCCTTATATTCTAATTACATATCCACATGTGTATCTGTTTGGAGGACTGTGCATGTAAATGCAGGTGCTCATTGATGTCAGAAGAGGACATTGATTCCCTATAGTTGGAATTACAGGTGGTGGCAAGCACCAGTCTGCATACTGGGAACCAAATTTGTCTCCCCTGCAAGAACATTTGAGCAGATACATATCCGGACAAGGTGGGGTTTAGGAGAGACGGGAAGAGAACGAGTGGAGATGGAGTCCTGGCAATGGGTCAGAGGACCTGATGGCACAGGGCCAAAGAAATGGGGCAGTTGTTGGATAAGGCGTCTCATCAACTCCTGAGCAGTGTCAGAGGCTGCCTACTGCTCTTCCCAAGATGCATGCGGTTTTTTGTTTTTTTATCCTTAAGATTAAGAGAGAAGGCGAGGACTAGAGATCTAGATCACTAGTAGAATGTTTGCCTAGCATGTGCAAGGTTCTGGGTTTGATTCCCAGCACTGCCATACGGGGGCTGCGACTGAGCAGACACGGCAACTGAGAAAGTATGCTAGGACGTGTGTGTCCCCCCACTTCCCCCCCCCCGTGTGCCCATTCCAATTTTCTTGGTGAGAAGCAAGCAAACTATTAACTGCAAAGGGAAGGTAAGAAACACATGGTGAAAGTGCGGAAAGCAGGGTAGGAAGCAGCGTCTGGCAGTGGGAACTGATCTCAAAGGGCAAGACTCTGGACTTGGTTCTGATGCCTGCTTAACATGGCCTCTGTCCATCTGTCCAGCCTCTCCCTCTCAACCCCTCTCTGCCTTACCTTCCAACGGCACTGGCCACGTTCCAGGTTGTAGATGACTCCAAGCGCTTCCTAGCTCTCCATCTGCAAGCGCCATTCTCCCCTTGCCAGTGGAAGGGCCTATAAGACCCCTCCCTGTGTGTGGACATCATTGGGAGTGAGGCGGGCCAGTGCATGATGGGATGGCAAGGACAGGCCGAAAGGAGGGCGTCGAGCAGGAAGCAAGCTGGGAGTTATTGACACTTTTCTCTGTGAAGTTCTTTTTGTTTTTTTTTTTTTTTTTGGTTTTTTTTTTGGTTTTTTTTTTTTTTGGTTTTTCGAGACAGGGTTTCTCTATGGCTTTGGAGGCTGTCCTGGAACTAGCTCTTGTAGACCAGGCTGGCCTCGAACTCACAGAGATCCGCCTGCCTCTGCCTCCCAAGTGCTGGGATTAAAGGCGTGCACCACCAACGCCCGGCTCTCTGTGAAGTTCTGCCATTCCCAAGTGCATGTTCTTGCTAGGAACTGTGTATCTGATACAGAAAGCAGGAAAGGTGGCAGGTAAGGGGCGGTCAGGGGAGGTCTTACTGAAAGGGGACATCTGAGCAGATAGACATGAGCCACATGGACTTGTGGAGGAAGAGGGATGTAGTTGGGGGAGATGGCACTGCACAGACACATGCAGATCATGCTTAGTGTGTCAGGGTGTTTGGAGCAGAATACGGCCATGGAGAGAAGAAAGAGTGGGAGGATTGGGAGGGCTGGACGGGCTGGACGGGCTGGACGGGCTGAGCTTACTGGCTTCTGCCACATCTCTTTATGCCAGGTGAGTTGGGAACTGTGCTTATGTGTGTGTTAACTGACCGTTGGGCTGCCGTGTCAGAAACATGCTGTAGATGCCGAGTATAGGTGATGTTCCTAGAGCTGGGAGTAGATGGCTAGTAGGTGACAAGCCAGGAACTGGGCTGACAGGGCTAGAGGAAGCTGAAAGGAAGGAGTGACTTCAGGAAGATGCGGGGTTTTGAGAGCTATAGTGGGATCGGAGATGTCTGAGTGCCTCTTAATCTGAGGGCCTCTGAATCAGAGTCGAGGGAGAAGGGAAGCAGCGCCGGACGTAGTTATGCAGAGCTTGCCGGGGATGTGTCAGGCTCTACTAGGCTTGGTCATGAGCGCTGAGGAGGCGGGGGAGGGAGGGAGAGGCAACTGAGGCTGGGCTTGGCTGTGATGAAGGGCATGCTTACAGAGCTGTTGGGGGCTGTCACCTGCGTTCTGTGAGCCCTGGTGTTGGGGATGCTCACCTAACCACCGGGACAAATGCTGTGTGCGGACTTGAGCACGGCACTCAGCTTATGAGTGCGACTCAGCTTGGAACCAGTGTCACAGAGATGCCGTCTTCTGTGGCTCTCAGCTTGAGGCCACTTTGACCAGAAGGCGTGTCCCCGTCTGTCCAGCTTTGTTTTCAAAAGGGCCCAAGAGCACCTCTGATGAGGACGAGACTGGGATGCTGTGAGCAAGTCATACCTGTTTGTTCACGTACTTCCTACTCATATGACCGGGTTAATATGCATATAGAGAAGAAATGATCAAAATTATCCTGCCATCGCCTAGTTGCCACCATGAGAGGTTTTTATCCCTTGGAACTAAGGAATGAAATCCCAATAGCAGTGTGAGGAAGCCTTTCGTGTTCTCCATTTGGCCTTCCTCTCCTCCGGTTGCCAGCTCCCTCTGCTTTCCCTGGTCGGCCACCAGGTGTCGCTGTGGTCAGTGCTTCAGGGCTTAGTGTGGTTTTTGACCAGAAGACATTGCCAGGTTTTTCCGGGATTCTGAGGAACCTATCCCTCCCTTCAGAGTTCTGAGTCCCTTCTGTTCTCCGGCTGGGGCGATGTCTGACTCTGGGTACTCCCGGTCCTGTTCATGTCCGAGGAAGTAGGTGTTGTTAGGGCCCAACATGAAAGCTAGGCTGAAAGGCAGCAGAGAAGCCTGATTTGCTGAGCAGCGGTGAGGCTGGGGAGGAAGGGGGAAATGTGACGCAGGGACTTGGTCACCTGAAGTCAGGTGGGAGGGCAGAGTGATGGTGTGATTTGAACCTAAGAAAAGCACTCTACAGCAGGGAAAGCAGGATTTTTTTCTTCCCCTGGAATTGCCCCTAGTGGCTGCCTCAGTAAGTCTGGGAGTTAGACATGAGGGTGTTTCATAGAAATGATTCTGGGGCTGGAGAGATGGCTCAGAGGTTAAGAGCACTGACTGCTCCTCCAGAGGACTTGAGTTCAATTCCCAGCAACCACATGGTGGCTCACAACCATCTGTAATGGGATCTGGTGCCCTCTTCTGGCATGCAGATATGAATGCAGGCAGAATACTGTATACATAATAAGTAAATTAAAAAAAAAGTTTTGAAAAAAAAAGAAATGATTCTGAAAGTTAACTAAGTTATCCTTAGTTCCACCATTCCCAGGGGGGCTTTGTGTGTGTGTGTGTGTGTGTGTGTGTGTGTGTGTGTGTGTGTGTGTGTGTGTTTGCAGTAGTGGGGATTGAACCTAGGGTTGTAGACATGTTAGGCACATGTCCTGTCAATGAGCTATATTCCCAGTCCTTTAAAAGCATTTTTACTTTTTGTTAGTACTATTGTTTTTGTTTTGGGGTTTTTGGTTTGGTTTGGTTTTTCGAGGCAGGGTTTCTCTATATTGTTTTGGAGCCTGACCTGGAACTCACTAAGTAGACCAGGCTGGCCTCACACTCACAGAGATTCACCTGCCTCTGTCTCCCGAGTGCTGGGATTAAAGGCATGCATCACGAACACGCAGCTTGTTAGTACAATAATATTTTGCTTATTGTTGTTGCTTGAGACAGGGTCTCGCTATGAAGCCCTGGCTAGCCTGACACTTGCTGTGTAGACCAGGCTGTTCTTGAACTTCAGTCACCCTGCATCAGCTTCCAAATGAGCTGGGCTTACCAACCTGAGCCCATAGGGCCTTTGTTAATCTTTTTGTCATCATGGGCAACCCAGGTGTGAGGATTTTCTCTGGCATTAGCAGAAAAAGCAAGCACCAAGATTCTGTCAGAAATACCTAGGAGATGGTGTGTGTGTGTGTGTGTGTGTGTGTGTGTGTGGAGGGGCAGGCTGGTTTGTAAGGCATCATGGTAGGAAAGGGAAGGCTTGATGCCCTGATGAACTTTTCCATAAATGTGTTCCCTTGTCCTGCAGACCCGTAGGACAGCATGGCCTTCCTCTTGCTTTAGGGGCTGAAATTTGCCGCGTCCGCTGCGCAGCCTGTGTCTGAGAATGTGCGGAGGGTGTCGGGATTGACAACAGATACTCGTTCAACGGTGTAAAGAAAACTTTAGCAGGCCCCAAAAAGGCTCAAGAAAACTTCCCAAGAAAGGCTTCCCTCCAGAAAAGCTTCTGCTCTCTCCTCTCCCCTGGCTGGTTCTGCTCTAACACCAAAAACTGGTCTGGGTGTGTCAGAAAAGGCGGTTAGTCTTTGGACAAGGTCGAGGTCAGAGCAGTTCCCGTGGGCCAGCCCTTTTCAGGAACTTATTGCCCCGGGTATTGTATTGTTTTTAGTAAACATGTTTTTAATAAACATTGTCTTACAGCTGCCTGCTCCCAGGCTGATGGGGAAGTGGGTCTCTGAACAAGGTCTGGTGTCCCCCACAGAAATTAGTCTATTTAGTGCTAGGCCTAGCATTTGAGACCTGCCTGACCTTTCTCAGTTAGGGGTTCATCTGTCTGGTATCTTCCTCACAGCTCCTCCGATGACAGGTTGCAGCCATGCAGCACATTGTGGCCGTGCCCCATGGACTGGTACGGAGAAGCTTCCTTGGAACGGACCTCCTCATGACAAGGACTCTGTGCAGTCCAGGTCCCAGCCAGCCCAGAGAAAAGCGACCAGAGGCTGCGGCCTTAGGGCTGTATCACCGCCTCCCGGCATTGGGAAGAGCCTTGGGCCACAGCATTCAGCAGCAAGTGGCCTCCACAGCCAAGGCTTGGTGGGAGCGATATGAAGAGTTTGTGGGACTCAATGAAGTTCGAGAGGCCCAGGGGAATGTAACCGAGGTGAGGAGGGGAGCCTGGGTGGTTGACTTTGCCTTTGTTTTGAGAAATATGTCTTGGGCTCCTAATTAAAAAATCCCCAGCTGCATACGTGGTGGCACCTGGGAAACTACATGGACGTGTTGGTCTTTCTTGTTTGAGACAGGGTCTTAGGCATCCCTTGGAATCCCTGCGTAGCCAAACTCCTGATCTTCTTGTGTCCACCTCCTAAGTCTTGGGACTACAGGTGTGTGTCACCACAGCTAGCTTTCTTTTCTCTCTGAGACAGGGTTGTGTCCTAAAGTCCAGGCTTGCCTGGAATTTATATTCAAGCTGGCTTCGAACTTGTGATCTCCCTGCCTCAGAGCTGAGATTATAGGTGTGGTCACCACCCTCAGCTCAGGCTTGCCTTTTCTTAAACAAACATCACTGGTTGAAATATCTGACTCTTTCTTTATGAAAATACTCAAGGACTGCAAAGTCCCTAGCTAGTGACTCCCCCCTCGTATTAGGCCAGCAAATGTTTTGCCTTATCGTGTGAAGGCAGAGGGCTCTGGAAAACATCACATTAGGAAGTAGACAGAGCTGCCTGCTGTTTTCGAGTCCTTGGTGACAGCAGAAATGCATGACTTGTCTCCAGTCAGATGTAGAGCAGTGTGGCATGGCAGGAAGAAACTGAGGTTTAGGCACGTGGTTGTCTCTTCTCTTTGGAAAGTATTTGTACCAGTTAGTTTTGCTGAGTTGAAATTTCCAGAACCATCAGCTGGAGACTGTAAGGGATGCTTTGATGGTGGTCTGGTAGGCCTCAGTAATACACTGCCAACAGCGTGAGAGAACATGGGCGCCTCATAGTAGATCCCATCAGACAAGAGTTGGCTGGTTTTAGTGGACAAAGATTGTGTCACTGTTTGCTTTTTGCAAGTTTCTCAGGGGCATGTTATTTCTGCTTGAATGAATAAATCCAGTGCTTCACATGGGCGTGGCCTGTGGCTGCCTGTTGAGCATGCTAGATTGAGCCGGGATTAATGTCCAAGGACTGTTTCTACCTTTCACAGTAACACCCCAGTGACCTCTTTTCAGCTGCTGCCTTGTTAGCGGTGGAGCCGAGCCTGTGTGGGGATGGACAGAGAGGGCTGATGACATCTGACGTTCTCTCTGCAGGCAGAGAAAGTGTTCATGGTGGCTCGTGGTCTTGTGCGAGAGGCTCGGGAGAATTTAGAGGCTCAGCAGACTAGGCTGAAGGAAGTGAGGGACCGCTTGGACCGCGTCTCCAGGGAGGACAACCAGTACCTGGAGCTGGCCACTCTGGAACACAGGATGTTGCAGGTGAGCCCTCAGGGAGCAGCCCTCGCACACCTGCACAAGGCCCTCGAGTGGCCCCGTGTGAGGTGGTACCGTGACTGCTAATATCATAGCCCCGGGCTTCCAGAGTCTGTCTGCCTGCTCTTTGCTGAGCCCAGCAAAGTACTGAACTGACACCCAAACTACTGACGAGAGTGTGGAGGTGCTGGCTCAGGGAATGCCACATACTCATTTCCTATCGGCAGGTTCTGCGTGACTGCCTGCCCAGTGGGAAGATCATGTGACTCCCTTTCACACCCCCCACGGCTCTGCTCCCACACCCAGCTAGGTATTTTCTGTGTCTTTCACGCAGCAGGTGTTTGTGGGGCCAGGGGCAGGGGAGCGGCCCCTGTGCCTCTGACTGCAGTCACAGGGCTCCTGGTTGTTGTCTGACACCACTTTGTTCCCACAGGAAGAGAAGAGGCTCCGAGCAGCCTATCTGCGTGCAGAAGACTCAGAGCGGGAGAAGTTCTCTCTCTTCTCCGCAGCTGTGCGGGAGAGTCACGAGAAGGAGCGCACAAGGGCTGAGAGGACTAAGAACTGGTCCCTCATTGGGTCAGTCCTGGGAGCTCTGATCGGTGTGGCTGGCTCCACCTACGTTAACCGTGTCCGGCTACAAGAGCTGAAGGCCTTACTCCTGGAGGCACAGAAAGGGCCTGTGAGTCTCCAGGAGGCCATCCGCGAACAGGCTTCCAGCTACTCCCTCCAGCAGAGAGATCTCAAGGACCTCATGGTGGATCTGAGGGGCCTGGTGCATGCTGGGCAGGGCCAGGGCTCTGGGTCACCAACAGGTACTTCTTCTACCGGAGGAAGAGACATAGATGCCCTTTCAGCCGCCATGGAAGAGCAGCTCAGTCATTCCCAGCAGGTCCAGTCCTGCCTGGAGGGTTTCCGAGAGCGGCTTGATGGCCTGGAAAAGACTTGCCGCCAAATGGCTGGGATGGTTCAGCTTGTAAAGGCTACAGGCCCAGTGGAGCCCGCAGGTGGGGCCCTGCCCAGCTCTTTGCTGGAACAAGGCAGCATGATCTTGGCCCTGTCTGATATGGAGCAGAGGCTAGAAGCCCAAGTCAACAGGAATAGTATCTGCAGCACACTGGTCACCTGTGTGACATTTATGGTCACGTTGCCCGTGCTCTACATGCTGTTCAAGACCAGTTAGTCCTGGGGTCCTTCTTCAGAGGGGCCTGAGGGTGAATGTGGCTTTTGTTGGTGATTTGATAAATCTTGAGTTACATATAACCTCAGACTGAATACCATCTGAGGGGCTCACTGGCAGGTATATTTTATTTTGTAAGTAATGCTTATTTACATTAATTATCAAAACTTTACAAATGTCCAATTAAACTATCTAAGAATTTGTATTATTTGAAAGATTTTTACATCAGACTCAGTTTTGTTATTGACTTCAGAAATTTGGGGCTTGGGGTTCAGCCAGGAATGAGAAAACTCACCCCTTTAGTTCCTTTCTTATCCCATCTTGGTCCTGGTTCAGGACTGTTAGCTGAGGTTAGCCCTGAGGTATAGATTCTCACTTTGGATATTCTGACTCGCCCTCTGCCTGTTGGGCCTTTCTGTCTAGGGGTTCAAGTAAACAGAACCTAGCCTGGTACGCAGCTCTCTGCCATGGGGAAAGGAGGAGAGAGGCTTCCTGGTTCTGATGCTGAAGTATGCTCGGAAGGAAGGAAGAGACTGGGACTCATCGCAGATCCATGCTTGTCTGGCAGCACTGATACAAAGTAGTCCCCATGTAGCCTGGGACCTTGAAAGGCATAGTTCAGACCCACGCTGGTAGCGGTGTGGAGCAGTAGTTAAAGGCATAGTGAAACACGGATGTGACTGCCCTGAGAACCCTGACCTCCCTTGAGAGGGACACGTGACCTTTGACTTCTTCAGCTAAATGGTGTAGGTGGCCTTGTGTAAACAATTTGTGGAGCATCGCTCTGTGCCTGAGTATTAGCGGTCTAGAACCATAGTGGGGAGTCAGTCTAACAGCCCCCAGAGGGCACCCCCGCCCCGGAGGGCACCCCGCCCCGGAGGGCACCACAGCTAGATATGCCTCAGGCGGGAGCTTGTTTGTGCCTTTGGAGCCTGAAGGGTCTTCACGAGGAGCGCTCCACTCCTGGATGCTGTGCTCATTCCTAAACAGCAAGCACGACCCAAATGGCTCCGGTTCTCACCTCTGAGAACCTGGTCTCTTGGCCATTGGTCACTTCATTCTCAGTATACAGTGGTTCCCTAGGGGAGAAACAACCCCAGTCTAAGGGTGTTAATATTCCTGGAGGTGTCTGAATGGACGAGGAAGGCTGTGTAGGTGTGTCAGGCTCCACACTGGGATAAAGTGGGTTTGAGGGCAGCGGACTCCCCACACATGAATGGGACTCCCACAAGTTGCAGAAGTCGGAAGGTCAACATAAGTGAGAGTCACCGTAGCTTTGGGATAGTTGTGGAGCTCAAGGCTAGAGGGTGGGGTTAAGGAGTTGGAGTCCGGGTTGGCAGTTATAGTGTCAGGCCAGCGGTGAGTGTCAGGCTCTCACGATGTGCTGACCATGTACTAGGGGACTGAAATCAGGTGCTTGAAGGTGGGGGTGGCGGAGAAAGGGGTGCTCTGAGACCGAGGGGAAGGATGAGTGAGAGGACCCTGTCTTAGTTTCTATTGCTGCCGTGAAACACCACGACCAGAAGCAAGCTGGAGACGAAAGGGTTATTTGGCTCATGTTCATCACTGACAGAAGGCAGAACAGGAACTCAAACAGGGCAGGATCCCGGAGGCAGGAGCTGACTCAGAGGCCACGGTGGGGTGCTGCTTACTGGCTTGCTCATCAAGGCTTGGTCTGCTTCCTAATAGAACCCAGGACCGGCTGTCTTGGGGTGGTGCCACCCACAATGGGCTCGGCCCTCCCCTCCCCCATCAATCATTAATTAACGCCCTACACGGGATCTTATGGAGGGATTTTTCTCCGTTGAGGTTCCCTCCTTTCAGATAACTCAAGCTTGGTCAAGCTGACATAAAACATGCCAGCACAGCCCCCACCCCACCCTTGAGATGGGGTGGAAGGGTGTGGTGGAAAAGGAGCCCGGCTGATGCCAGCCGAGTGCCAACGGCCTATGGAAGGCTCCCCTGCTGAGAGCCCTCTAACCTGAGGGGCTTCTATATACGGCCGATTTTGCCTTTCTGGATGTCGTGCCTTGAGCTAAAGCCCTCAGGATGGGTCAGGTGCTCGGCCCACAGATTGCCGGTGGCAAGCCGGGGTGTGAAGGGCCGGGCATAAGACAGTGCAATGTGCCTGGGGAGAGAACCTCGGCTCGGAAAGACCCAGGTGTTTTCCAAGGAGGGAGTGGAGACTTGCTCAAGGCTTCTGAGTTCTGGATAGCTCGAGGTACACGCCTTGGAGGAAAGGAAGGTAACGAGACCCCGCTTAACGCACCTCACAGCCAGTGTGCCCAGCTTTCGCAGCTCAGCTATGGGTGGTATCAACCCCCTTTTGTGGGTGAGCAAATAGGTTGGGGGAGGAGTGTCAGGTTACATGGCTTAGTGATGGCGCAAACTCGGGTCCAAAGCCCGGGCTCTCCTCAAACAGCCAGGGGTGGGGGCCGGAAGGAGAGGTTGGGTGTTGCGGAGTCCTGGGAGAAGGAAAGGTGGGCAGGGCCAGGTGAGAAGAGGAGAGAGCTGGCGCCGAGGAGTTCAGGTGAAGAAAGTTGGGGGAGGATGGCCACAAGGGCCCGGAACTAGAAGGGAAAGAGGGCGCCCGGGGGCTGGGCGAGGCGCGTTCGGGGTGGTGAAGATGGTGGCTAGGGAACAGGCCGAGCAGGTGAGGGGCACGAGTCCCATCGAACTCTGGCAGGACGAGGCTCCGGTGCTGTCTCACTGCACCCTGGAGTAAGGCGAGCAACCGTGGCCACGGCCCCTTGCGTTTGGGAAGTGGGGCCAGCGGCTGGTCCCGAGCGGCGCGCAGGTGAGGCCCGGCTGGGCGGGGCGGACCGCCCACGCTCCGAGCTAGGCTCCGCACCCTACCGGTCCGCGTAGCCATGGCTACCGCCGGGGCGCAACAACCCCCACCTAATGAGAGGGGCTTGATCACCCCCCGGGCCCTTCACAAACTCGGATCCCGCGGGACCGGAATGCGGGGTCCCGGGGGGCTGGGGCCGCGCACCCCGCTCTCCCGGCTGCTTCCGGCCTGACCCGGGCGGCGCGCGGGGGGAGGGCGGCCCGACGGGAGGGGGTGGAAGGAGCGGAGCTCGGGCCGGCCGACGCGGCTTTGTCTCCTTTGTTCCCCGCGGTGGCAGAGCCGCGGCGGGAGGGGCGGGCAGCGGGCGCAGTTTTCCGCCCCTCGGTCTCCGGGTAACAGCTGCGGCTCCGCCAGACCCACCTCCGGGGGGAGGGAAGGTCGTAGCGCGCAGATCCCGAGCGAGCCCGGAGCTGCCCGCCGCGGACGCCTCGCCGCGCGCATCCCGCAGGCGGGTCGGGCGGTGAGTTGCGGGGCTTGGGCTGGGAAGGCGGGGCCGGGCCGAAAGCCGCGCGCACCCAGGTGGAACGACCCGAGGCCTCGGTCCCGCCGGGTACGGGCAGCCCGAGCGGAGTGGTGGGCGGCTTCGGTCCAGAGAGTTGGGACCACACTCGTGCGCGCGAAGGCAAACTCTGGCGGCACCGCCTGTAACGCGATTGGGAGACAGAGGAGGTGGAGCTGCTCCTCCGCGCCCCCTCCTCGCTGCGGCCACCGCCGCTGTCGGGACCGGCCGGCCCCTTCCCCGCCCTCCCAGGGCCACTGGTGGGGTCTTTGTCCCGTGGCGTGGTGGAGGGAGGAGGGCTGAGGATGAGCCGAAGCAGGGAAGTGGAGGCTTCCCTATAAAATAACAGACCCTTCGGGCTGAGGCTCACAAAGGAGGACCACGAGCCTCTTAATTCTGGGATTCCGTCTTGGTACCGACATATGCAGCGGGTGCTTGATGAGCGCCTTAATTTTATCGCGGGTGTCTGGTAGATGATGACGCCCCTCTACCCCACTCAACATCCTGAAAGCAGGTGTGCAGTGGTCACCATTTCACTGTCAATGAGTTATGCTCCCTTCTAAGTGGATAGATACTTGGATTGGGGCCTCAGAAGGGGAAGGCCAGTTAACTCCCAGGCAAGGTACATTGCAGGTGCGGATGGACTGAATTTGTGAGCCCTCTTGGTTAGTAAGAGCAGCTGCAGGAGGGCGTCAGGTGGTGCTTGTCCTTTGCAGAAGTCGGGCAAGCAATCCTGGGTCCCGCTGAGGGATTTCAGGGAGTGTGGGCTCTGAAGAGGCCTGCAGGGCAGGCCTGGGCACAGGCAGAGTTAGACTTTGGCTATGAGCCTGGACAGAGCCTGAGATGTGGGGAGTAGGGAGGAGATACTGGCAGTGCAAGTTAGGGACGTGAGGCTTGGCTCCAAATAAGCGTTTTCAGTCTGCTCTAGTCTGGTCGTTAATAAAACTCTGCCATTCCCTTGTCTTTTGAGAGGCCAAGAGGCTTGGAAAGCAGTGTGTAAGCTCCGTATTACCCCTACTGGCTGGATTTCCTGGGCAGTGAAATGGGGGCTCGTTAACCGTGGAGGGAACACCTGCTCTGCGTTGGGGTTGGGGGTTACTGGGGCCTCCTAACTAACAGTGGGCACACTCCTCCCTTTCCAGAGTGGGAGGATGCAGTGGGAGGAATGGTCTTGGGACCCACTCATGCCAGGTCCGCTCTACACGGTCACCGTTCAGAACGGTCCTACCGCCCTTCCCGCCCGCGGGAAGTCTGAAGCTCAAAGCCCAAGGAGAGTCAGGCTGGTGGCTAGGTGTGTCCGTTCCATCTGCCACACAGGGTCACCTCCTCAGGAGCCTGGGAAGGCTAGGAAGGCTCCCCGGGGAACTGATGGCTGGGCGTGGGAGGTAATGGGAGAGAGGGAGTGGGCATTCCAGGCCGAGGGAACAGCCCTTGTGATGGCAGGGAGGAGTAGAGCAAGCCTGCAGTTTAGTCAGGAACCAAGAGCGTATGTGGGGGAGCGTGCAGATGAGAAGGGCCTGGCCTTTCTCTCTCCAGCCCTAGGGTACCCAAAAAAGCTTGAGGAGTGTGTGCACTGCATTTTTGTTTAAAGAAAATTCAGTGATGTCCTCATAGATTGGAGGGACTAGGGAACGCCTCTGTAGCTGAAGTTGAGTGAAATCTGTTGGCTAGCATGGAGAAAAATGTCACTACCCTTTGTCCTGCCCCTGCCCATGGTATGTAGGCCTTTTGACATAGTTCCTTAGAGGGGGGTTAACCTCTGACCTGTGTGCTGAGCTCTTCAGAGCCCTCGAATTTCTCTGTATGTTCCCCTCAATGCAGTCTCGATTTCAGTTTGGGGAGTGGTTTTGTTACTGCCCCTTGAG